CTCACTCCCAGCCTATCGTGGTCCCCTCCCCCACAAATGCTCGATGTGTTGTCGACACGAACCCTCCAGAATGCCAGCTTCGCTTGGTTCAGCAAGTGGAGAAGGACGGCGCGACGCAAGCATGGCCTGCAGGATGCACGCTCGGACGCTGATGATATAAACACACCTGTAGTGTGGCCCTCTAGCCTGGCCTGACGCTGCCAGGGTTCTTGGTGGCACTAAAATCTATCGCGTGTATTTTGGGCTAGGTTCTTCAGGTAGCGCAGTTAGGATGTTCAACAGTCGATTTTGAGACAACAACCTGCATAAACAGTAGATGAAGGAGAAAACATTTCGCTACTAGGTAGGTTAGCAGTTTCTGCGCCGTAGACTTGCTCAACCCCGGTCCGCATACTTGTCTATCGAGTCTTGATAATGCGTAAACGTGGATGAGGTCCCTCACAACAGCGACACATAGAGTTTCATTCAGGGTCCATGTTGAAATGGACCGGCCCGGCGGCTATTGCGGCTTTGCGACTTGAAGCGGACCTCCGAAGAGTGGGCGATGGATGGCCGACCGATGGTAAGCCGCCGCACCTAAGCCCACCGTTTTAGGGTGGGCTTTGTGAAAACGGCGCATAACAACAAAGACCGCGAGTAATTCAGTGCATTTGCAGAGTTATATGTGAGCCAGTGACAGTTATGGCCAAGTAATTAACGCATAAGACCATATATCTGCCCGATGTGATAGGTGAGTTGCGGCAGCCGGGAGAGATCAGAAGTCAAGCAGAGCCGGCTCCCTTTCAAAGCGATATCTTTTCTTCCTCGTTCTGCTTCGTTTCAACAATGCACGGCAGTCGATACATTGAGCTTGGCTGTAGCCACAAGCAATGGGCACAGTCTCTATGCGACATTTCTTCCGGGAAGGGACGGAATCTGAAGTATTAACTCTTGGCTCTGATTGCGTTGGTGTGCCTGAGAAAACAGCAGGGTTCACACCAAGACGTCCCTTTGCTGGTCATGGGTAGGCATTTGACGATGTGACGCCTCCGGCCGATAGCGAGCTGCAGCTAAGCATATGGGGATGGATGGTGGGTGTACACTTGACGGGCGATGAGCGAACAGACTTGTCGATCTTAGAACTGCATTAGAGGGTCGATAATCGTCAGACGCCATCTCGGCCGGGGTCTTTTCTTGCGCCATCTCTACAGTAGCAGAAGAGGAGCTTGTAGGGATGAAGAATGGAGACGGGAAGAGAGAACGGAGATTGATGAATCAATCAAGTCCTTGCCCAATGAGCAGCCAAGAGAAGATACGTACTGCGAACTACTTTCCGGGTCGATCGAACTGGTTCCTCACAACCCTTACCTACCTGTCTACCTTACCTGAGTACCTAGAGTGAGTGCCTTGCAATCTACTAACCTACGTAGCACCCAAAGATAGTAGGCATCACCTCAGGGAGGGAAATGATGTACCGTGTACCTATCTAGTCATCTAGATCCCGCTTGGTACGAGATCTCAAGTTGCCTCATCAGGCAATCAGCCATGAGAAGCTTTGACCATTGCTTGTTGCTATCACTCGATTAGGCATCTCGACCTTGGACCAAAACCTATCACCAACCAACACTGAACATGAGAGATAATTCGTTAGACCTCGACAGGCATGGCCGTTTCTCGATGATTCACCTACTATAGCCACCAGCACTTGCGGCAGGATGCAGATAACCAAGCCAATACTTCAGCATCTCGATCACCTCATCGGGTTCCGGGCCGCCTGAGCAGAAATATGTGATTTATTCATGTGCTACAGAAACTGAGCACCTCAAAAGTCCAAGACATGCATATGTATGCATACTCATGTAGTTATGTGCGTTCAACGTCGGCAGGTCTCAGTGTATGATAGAGGGGCATCGTTTGTGCAGGATAAACCACATCCTTATGCGATTCCGAAACACCAGGAACGCTTGATGCGACTATTTGTTAGCCGTTGTCGTTCTCTATCAACAACAAACCCTGTCACCAGTTGCGGAGGGGTTTCCTTGGCATCACGAACGCGATTGACCCGTGCCATCCTTGCTATTGCCGATTGAAGTCCGAGCTCTAGACCCACGACGATATCTTCGCCATCAGAGAGGGGAAACGGGGCTACTCGCAAGGGTCCATGGCGCAGCAACTGGACAAAACACAACAGGGACAGTGACTCGACAGCCAGATCGAGGCTCAGCCTGTGCAATGTCGATTACCCAGTGACTTTTCTGATATGTGGCTATCCGTCCCATCCCGTGGGGCTGGTTGTGCCATGAGCGTTGCGATACGACGAGAGAAGAGGAATCTCCAGTAATAATAAACCTTCTGTATCAACGGCATCGGTCACTCGCTGACTGACGAAAGATCTGCAAAGGATGGACTATTCCCGGAGGATTAACGACCAGGGACCTGCATCCAATTCGATGTAAGATGATGTTATGCAAACAAAAGATTCAAGGCTATGGGGGTATTTGCAACCTTTGCCAAAGGTTGGGTTGGTGACACAAGCAGGATCGGTCCTTTGGTGAGGTGGATTTAGGAGCAATACATCGTCACAGACATCAGTTGTTGTGGATATCGTTAGGATATGTTTCTCCAGGGTCAACCAACATGACATGCAGCTTTGCAACCCCCAAGGGGCCTCATGAGCTCACGCAAGGCATTACGCCAGCAATAGCATCTGAAAACAAGTTCTGATGCAGTACTTATCTTGCTATTGGCAAAAGAACATTATTTCTCAAACAGAGCCGGTCCAATGGCGGCCATATGCCAGACGCACACCAAAATCGCAGAGCCCCAAGGCCCGCAGAAAGCTAGACAAGAACCAACATGACATTACGACAACGATGATGAACGACATACATTTGTGGTGGACAACTGTCGTAATTCATCATGCACCAAAGGTTGCGATGATATTCGACACCCACACCATCAGACATGTTGACTCTTGTTGCAGATGGTAGTCTATGCATATACAACTATACACTACTACATGCATTACGTACTACTAGATTCAACAAGATATAATGCAACGAACGGTAGAAGGATAATCACGATGCAGATGCCAAGCTAACAAGCCAGTCGCATCATAGTGATCCTGGCTTAGCCTGGCTTACACTCGCTACCCCCAGACTGAGATTCAGCTAACCACAATTACACCAGGTACCTTGCGTTGTCCATCTCACATCATGATATCTCCTGTGGTTACTGTACTCCGTAAGTGGGTATCAAGGGAAAAAAACCCCGCGTCAGAATCCATATCATATCAAAAAGGACCAAGTGCAGACGATCGCTGTCCACAAGTGCTTAGCTTGGCTTGAAAACTCTAGCCTCTGTGCTTGGCGTCTATCTTGCACCCGTCCTCCAGTAAACTCGATCAAGCCCCTCCCCACACAAGCAGGCTCATTACGTTTCCATTCTGCCTTGTTCCCTAGATTTCTGGCTGTGCTCGTGATTCGCACTCGCTATGCTGCGAGGTCCTTGGGTGGTTGACACACATGATCTAGCCTGATAGCTGTCACGGCCACGGAGATTGAAAATGGGATCGATGTCTTGGTTCGGCCGACAAGGAGGGGAAGCGGAGTGTATACCTGGTGGGGGCTTACAGGCTTGTTTCTTGACTCTGAGTCTTGTCCAACCAGACTCCCCTGTCTTGTCTGAGCCTGCACCTCATCTTGAGTCGAGTCCCGCTGAAGATGCAACGGTGATCAGGGAAACCCGGCCTGACAATGACACGAAAGTGGTTCCTGTTTGCCCTCGATGCCACATATTACGACTCGCGTTGTTTCAACTGGGACATACATAGTATTTGCCTAACAGGGCAGGACCCTGGATATCCCGAGCTTTACGGATCTGTGTGCATCAAAACCTTCAGAGATGATGCGATAATTAATCCCCCTTTTGACTTTGTGGCTACCTGTCTCATCAACCTCCGGCACTTGCGCGAGATGCGAGTGCAACACGTCAAACCCTAAGCCAAATATAGCTTGCTGCAGTTGAGCAGATGCAAGATTTTGGTGTGCCATACTCAAGACCAAGGCCACATCTGAGCGAGGCCTGCCTGCAAACCATCTGAGCTGTCGTACCATGAAACTAATCACTTTGTGGGTGGTGCTGTGGATCTCCAATTGCCAGTCCATTGACCATCCTTCACTCTCTTCTTTAGGCTAGGGCTGTCATCACTAAACTCGAAGCTAGTGCCAACGATGCCATTTTGGGTTACTCAATGTCTCTACTGAGTCTGTATCTATCCTTGCCAACTAACTAACAGGTTGCTGTCTTTGATGTGGGTTTAACTGGGTATGAAATGTCTGCGCCCGTTATACCCGCCTCAGAAGTCAGAACCAAGTATGCAAAGTCAGATCACAGAGGCCATATTAGTAAACAAACAAGTAATTGTCTGGTAGGAGACATCTCCCAATGTTTTGATTATCACTCTCACATGCCTTAAAGCTAGCTATGCTTTGTGTACCCTTTGTGAATCTCACACACCACCTAGAATAGCCTCCACCCATAGTCCCAAATGATCCCAAATTGTTACAAAACGAGGGAAGATGACTCTTGCTCGGGTTTTGTTAGCAAGTCAAGAAGCTAGTAGTCATGATAGCCTTGACTGCTTTCCCACCAAAAATGTTTGGTCCAGCAAAGCTCGCTGTTCAGGTTACCACGTGTCTTTCATCTGCTTCGGAAATATCTCATCCCAAGGAGGTGACACTCTCAACCTCGTCAGCGGCCGTCGACTGGAAAAGCATAATCATCATCCCCCTAAGAAGCAAGAACTTTTGCCCAATCGGCCTCTTGAAAGGCCTCTCATCTGTGTCCCCAATCCGTCCTTTTTTTTTGGTGGTGGCTGTGGTGTGGTGTGCAAGAAGTAGAAAAGAGAAGAGGTAGGAAGATTTTCGTCGTTCCATTTAACCATTGGTCATGGACAATTAACTTCCCACGTGAAAATGAAAACGTTACTCATGGCCTCATCAAATCGTTTCCTCGCCAGGTCAGATTACCCAACACTGTGAATTGATCGAAGTTTCGTTCGTGTGCAGCTTGGTGGTGTTTGGCGTCATTGCCATTGGTGTATGCACTCGTATGGGCACATACGAGGTGCTTGAATCATAGGCTGCATAGTCGCTCTTTTCCCATGCGACTTGCTGTGCCTGAGGTTGCCGTCCCTTTTGACGAGCGTTATATCGAATTAGAGATCCCTTACCAGGAGGTGTCTTCAAAACGATTGAAGGCTGAGGGGCGGGAGCAAGTCGCTGCTCATCGTTTGCATCTCCGTCAGCTCGGCTACCCCATGAGGTCTAAACAATGGATGGTTAGTTGATTGCTCGGTACTGGGGGCTTTTCTTATTGTTCGAAACGTACCATATTCAAAGTGATCAGGGCGTACAGCTTGACCAATCCGTGGAAATATCCAAATATGACGGAAACGGGCAGGAACATGATATCGCTTGGGTTTCGAATAAACAGACCCATCAGCTTGACTACCTTCGTGAACGCAAACATGAAGATAAACTGAGCCCAGAACGCGTATCGGCGATTCTGGACATCCCAGTCCGCAGTTCCCCACCAGCATGAAGCTAGGAGAAGCGGATCAACGACAAAGGCCAGCGAAGTAAAAGTCGCGAAGTGAAGAGCATATGTGCACCACAATTGTTGCCTATTTCTTGTTAGATCGAACAAATTTCACGCGGATAATTCTTTTTACTCACTTCCAAATATAGCGTTCAGTTACCATGCTGGTCCAGTTGCTTCGCCAGTTGCTTCGGGCCCAACGAGAACATTGGTACAGAAATTTGGTGCTGTTCTCCAAAGTTGTCTCGATCTCACACTCCTTGTCGTACTGGATCCATGTCTTCCATTGGTGGCTTACCAGCCAACGAGTCACAAAGTTGTCGTCGTCAGCATTCAAAATCCACTTTCTCCATTTCTCGTTCTTGAAGCCGTGGAGAAAGTCATGACTAGAGAGGATTTCAGAGCGGTAGGCGCCGGTACGACCAGACATGCATGAGGTGCCGCCATCGATGTTGTGGGTGGCTGATATCTCAAAATTTCGACGCTCAATGTAAGCTGCACCCAGCCAGTTCCAGGCCTTGGTTGACCAAGAGCCATCATGCTCCCGTCGAACTCGTTGACAAGTTCCTACACCGCCGATTTGAGGGTCTTCAAATGGAGCGAGGATCCAGGGCATAAGAGTCGAGGGCCAGGTCACATCATCGTCCGCCATGATAGTGATGGGAGTCTCGACCTTGGGGAGCGCCTCACACACCTGCAGGCGCTTGTTGGCAATAGGAGTATCCAGAACACGGACTTTGGGGAAAACCAGGGAGTCTGCCAGGCGCTGGAGGTCTTTTCGCTTATCATGCGTTGTGACCAGAATCAACTCGGCAGGCTCGCAAGCAAGAATGCTCTCAATAGAAGGGCGCAGCTCCTCGAAAGCATTGTGAATGGTTGGGATAACCACAGTCACATCCTTACTCGTGAATGTCGGTTTGCTGGGGATGGGCTTCGACTTATATGTCCAATGGCTAACGCAATGAACTAGAAGACGGAGATAGCGATGAACCCTGAGATCATGTCAGAACTAGTTGGCCATGCTGAGATTTATGGCCTCCTAAAAGCCTTCTTGAAAAAAGCAGTTTTCATCTCAAGATATTGAAAATGACTTACCAAAGGCCTACAAAAAGGTACAACCAAAAGGTCGTTGAATACCAAAAGTTGAAAGAAGGCATTGGCAGTGCTAACAAACCAGCAAGACCAGGAAAATGGCTGCGCCCAATGCTTTGAGTCTCAGAGTCAGACATGCTGAAGCTGTTAATTGTCGAAATCCAATGAGGTTGAGAGGTGGGAGGAGGTGCTGTTGGTCCCGCGATGGGAAGAAATGTTCTTGTGATACACGGCTGTTGATGGGTATTGCACAACGAGGATAGAGATTCGAAAGAGTAAGGCGAGGAGGGGTTTACAAGTGATTTCAAAACAAGACTCTGTGTCTCGTAATCTGGAATTGATGGTGGTTGACCGTCCAAGATGATTGTGTTGTGGTGAAAGTGAATCAGAGACGCTGGAAGTACCAAAGCAAACACACTATGCAAGAGAGACACAGTCGCACCGTTGCAAGGCTCGAGGCACCGGAATAATATACAATGACGGGAAAAGGAATTATTCAAAGATGGCCATGACAAGAGGAATTGGCCGGTAGGAGCAGGGCGAGGAGGAAGGAAAAGAGGTAGTGGCGATGATAACAGCCTGGGGTGAAGACGGGGAACGGGTCTATGATATATACCTAAACCAAAACCCGTCTCTAAAACGGACCATGCATGAACATGGAGTAGTGAGGGTCCTTGATGAGGTCGTGGGCCATCGTAGTGTGTACCTAGTTGTGGTGGCACTGGTAGGGCGGCAACTATGTACGTAGAGACAAGCGCGCAGGTCTGTCGAGATTTGATCTTGTTCTGGACAACGGACAAGACAGCAGGGGTGTATTGGTCTTGCGCTCACTGCATTAGGACCAGGACCAGTGGGGAGCGAGGGGTTGGATGATTTGAGAGGGTTGGAGGGGCCATGTATGGCGGCGGCGGCGGCTCGAATTGGGGGATTAAAGAGGGCACAACTATGTAGCTAATTAGTAGCGCACATGGGATTGGAGGAGGGGGTGTATTGAGATCACAGCAAAGAGAAAAGAGACTGGCGCGCGTTATTTCAGATGTGTTACTGAGAGCCATTTGAGTCTCATTCGACGCCGACCCCGGCCGCGTTACTACCGAGAACGGTACGGGTTTATTTTCTGTCTCTTCTTGTTGTCCATTTCCATGCTACTGCTGCAAGCTGTCGAGAAACACTGGAGCAACTGAGCAAGCGGGGTGACTGTACATTGTAGACATGGAGCACTGCGACTATACTCAGGACAGGGCATGGGGGCGCAGGCTCGCAAGCGTGGAGTCGACATTAGCATCTTTTGCTAGGCACCTCAGTGCCTTGGCCTGAAAACTCCAGCATGTCCGTTCGCTTCTCTCGAGACCCTACCATCGTGGCGCCGATTCTAGGCTGGCGCATGAGAGTCACGTCTCGTGCCCGTAGCAGCCCATGTCAAGGTATTGAATAGCACTTGGCCAGTGCTGCTCGGCCCGCGGCGCACATCATGAGCCTTGTCGTTTCGTTGTTTTGCCTCTGGGGTCCAAAGTGCAGGGTTCACACAAACCTCGATGGCGTCGATGGCTACGGACGGGAGAGGAGACATGGGACCTTGTTCGTGTTTAGCGTGTGGATCTCGTTGCTGCTGGCGCGAGCGAGTAAAGTCCAACGAAGCCAAGACAAAAACAAGACCACCATTCAGCATTGCATTACCTTGGTGAGGATCTGGTGGGGAGTGGGTTAATAGCTGGAGGCGGCTTGGACATGAACTAGGATATTGTATGCATGTATCTAGGGACTCATCAATCTGCAACATAAAGCATAAAGCATAACCTGACTTGGAGATATGCCAGTCCATTAGCCGCTCGCCTGTGGTGCGACAGGCCGGCTCATCGTATCAGAAGCAAGAGGTGGTTGCCTTGCACCTTTGCATCTGAGGTTCAGAATGAATCCAGTGGAATGCATTGGACAAATGAGCAAATTGCAGTTCTGCTGCTGCAGTTGTGAGAGGCTGGATACAGCTACGTACGTATAGTATTTCGAGATTGCATATCGACAGATGAGGAGAACATCACTGATCCATTGGCCAACCAAGAGCCACTGACTGGAGGGACAATTGGCGAGCGAGCTACTGTACGAGGTACAGAGGACTGTCTTCGATATCGGATATCATGGACGTGCAGGCTAAGAATCCTTGAATGCAGGAACTGGGCCCTGATGCGCGCCAGCTACTGGACGAAGTATGGAGATGTTAGCGTATGTATGGAGAAGATGCAGCATGTAGGTCGAAGAAGCGATATCACACAATGTACAAGGGAGCTGAGCGGAAGACGGCTGATTCCTTCCGTGGCAATGAGATAAACTCATTTGAGGTAACTACGGGTAGGGAAGGTCCATGCTAAGATCAATCTTGATCTCGAGGCAAGTGCAATCGACAAGATGGGGGAGGAGCAGCACTAGTGAGTTTCTTCTATTCTCTTTGGGCAGATTCCTGTAGGTAAAATCATGGATAGTCCGGAGGAAAGTGGTGCAGAAGGTGCAGATAACCTCAAATCCGAGGTCCCTGTCTGGTCAACGTTAGCTTAGGTAGCAGGGTAAGGTAGTTGTCGAGGAAAGAAATGGTGGGGAACCCACCTTAGCACTTAGGCCTAGGTAATGTAATGCGCCTAGGTACCTATGTGCCTTTCCTGGTTGCATAACTCACGTCTTCTAATTTTCCTAGTTGATAATTGACATCTTGGTGGCTTCATCGAATTCGTGCTGAGGTACCTCGATAATGATTCAGATGTCACTCCCATCGTCTAGATAACAACCTGGTACACTCAAACATCCGTTGTGATGTTACGAATTCTTTTCGCTTTTCTTTATCGCCAACATGCACCTCCACATCAACCACCATGGATCAGCATGGATATCTTTCTCCGAGTCAAGTAATAAAGTCGCTTGAGGTGCAGAGAGGATTCCCGCGCCCTATCCACGCAGGAAGAGACAATGAGAGGACAGCCAGAGAGGACAGTGCATGTATGAAGTGGCCAGAGGAAACGCATCATCACATCACTTCGCATTGTCTCGCCTTCTCGAGTCGTCAAGATTGGATCCGCTCCGCCCATAAACGGCTGCCGCGTTGCGTCGCCTACCTCCAATGGAACTCGTAAGGGCCCGCGGCCGATTATGCTCGGTGGGAGGAAACCGGCCTGGAGAAAACAACCGACCAGCGGACACTACAAAACCGCAGATCGACCAGCCCGACAGCTAAACAGAGGCGACAGGGTTGCAATGCTGCGGATCCTCTTCGGCTTCGGCTGGCTGATGAGATTTACATTTTGAAAGACTCCGAGAAGAGCCAAGAATCTGCTTCTGCATCATCTCCGCTGGCCCCTTGTCTCTCTCTTCCAGTCATGATGGTTGTGTTACCTGCATCGGCAGCTTTGAGAGTCAGTGCACGGTGCAACGCACCAAAAGCCGATGATCTGTGGCTAGCTGCTATCTGTTCAGATATCAAGTCTTGGTGTAATATGACAGATGTCACTGTATGGATGGCTTGGTACAATATGCCACTACGCTGTCTATCAGAACACAGCCTTGTTTTGCTTCACTGCGCTTATGGCTGTTCTGCTTGGGAAGCGGAATTCCTGGCCGTTTGTGGCTGTTCTTTTTATGATTACCCCAGCAAATTACTGAATTCTGTTTCTTAGATTGGACCCCTCTTATGATGAAGCTGCACTTTTATGCGGTTGGTCCTCGCTGGAGTTACCTTGCTGACGATACGGGCATAGGGTCTGGAGGAGTCGTGCGCAATTGCAGATGGTAACTAAACCCGTAAAATCACACCATACCCGGATCTGCTACTTCTTCGCGATGCTCAAACCCACATGGCCTGCTGTTGGTTTTTGCTTGAGACAGGCACCACAAGGGTCTTCTGTGTAGTACCATGTACGACAGCCAAGAGGGTGCCACAACGCCTGGGGCCAAATGAACACCACTGGTTTGAGCCAAAAGAGGGAACTACAGACACGACGAAGGTCTGCTCAACTTGCATCCAATGCAAAAATAGCTCAGCACTACCACCTGCTTGTGCACATGCGGAAATCGATAGCAACGAGGCCTAGTGGCATGTCGGTCATGATATACTCCAATTGGTTCATCTTTGTCGACTGCACATTGTCCCAGTCCTTCGTGATCGATGATGAGCCGCAAAATGATCCGTCCATTCATTCTCCTACGCCTGGCGCAGAATGGGTCAGCCGTTCGTTCCTCATCGAATCGACTCCACTGTCAGCGAAGAGCCACTGTAATTGTTGCTCAGTCGACACTGGACAAACAAATCAAGCTCGCCAGATCCCGAGCCCATACCATATGCGATCTAGGCTCACAGAGGCTGGCGCGTGCGCTCTAGCATGTGGATATTATACGCACGTCTGTCCTGTTAGGAGCCTTCAATCAACTCCTAGTTATCAGCCAGCATCTGTTGGTCTAAGGTTGAGTCAAGTTCTACGCGGCGCAACGCAGCTCGACAGTTTCGGCAATAGTTATCGTCCTGCAGACTACTGCAGACCATCGGCCATATTTCTCGCTGGTTGGCTCCTGTAGGTCTCAAGTTTTGCTTGGCTATCTAACGTAGCAACTCAGAACATCCAATCCGAATAGCGTTGCTTTGGCCACTATGTTGAGACATAACTGTCACTCAGTCTGCAGCTGTTCACAAAAAAGGTGCTGCTGTGCTCCTACTGCTGCGCTTGAGGTTGCTTGCCTGCAATTCAGTCTCGAATGGCATCAAGAGCTCAAAGACAACTTACCATTACCTGCAACGCAACAGGTAGCAAGAGTGCTATGATTCAATCAAAGCCAATCGATAATGCATGGTGGGTCAGACCTTTTGTTTACAGCATTTTTCAAGACAGGCTCTCTCGGAGGGAGTCTGTCCATCAAGACAAGACTGCAGGGATCCCCACTGCACCCTGATCCTGATGCCACTCGTTTATTGTTGAACCCTCTCACATTTACACCTTGATTTGCCGCTATGGAGCCATTGTCATTTTCATGGGCGCATGCTCGAGGTATTTTTTCCCTCATTCGCAGATCTTGAGTAACCTCGCCACCATGCAGTGACAAGAAACGGCCCCGGGCGTTGTTGGTCCGGTATATAAAAAGCTGTGCCTCAAGAGAGGCCATATTCACAATGCGTGGTGATATCACATTCAAAATGTTGGAAGACGAAGCCGATCTTCATGCCATTATTCTTTTAGTGCTACGAAACTTGTGGAGGAGCCGGGATAACCCTAGCTTTACTCGGAGGCCAGGGTGGCTAGCTAGACAGACAGGGGAGAAACGCTTGAAGCACGGAGCATTTGCTAAACCAACGTCGACAGGGTTGAATCTTGACGGTCACATCTCCAAACCAAATAGACTACTTTTTCCTTGTCGCTCTGCAACGTCAACTTGGTCAAAATCCCGTCGTTGTACTGAATCCTCAGCCTCTTGTTCAATATAGTTCATATTTCCGCATGTTCATGTATAGATCAAATGACATCTACGTTGGCGCAACTAACATATTCGAAGAGTTTCCAGTCAAGAATTTATACTGTTGCATTCATTTATATGCACCTTAGCCTTGATTCGATTCAAGTGGCAGGCCTCGATGAAAGGAATACATAGATAAGAAGCCCAACGGCTTGACGGCCTTGGTGTCATTCACACGGCAGCATTATGCATGAGGACGTTTGTACATGTCAGTCAGCAGGAAAGGGCAGCTCGTTCAAACCATGGGTCGACGCATCAAGTATGAAGTCTCCATCGAGAGTTCCTCAAACAGGATTCTAATATAAGGTCGTCTACCAGATAGTGAGCTCGTACTCTCCGATGCGAAGCTATATTCGATGCCTTTATACTCACATACAATTTTGTCTGTCGCTCCTGGTCATCAAACCCCCATTGAGCCTTCTTTCTCGCATACTGCAAGACTTCTGTACTGACGTGGAGGCAGTTCTTGTCAACTTAAGCTTCCAATATAGGTAGTCAGATACAACACAAGTATGAGCCATGTTGAGGGAGTAGGAAGGCTCCTGTTTGAGACGGTAATTTGTGGGTGCAAAGGAGCCATTCGGATCTCAAGTGTCTGCCTTAAGACGTTTATAACCGCTCGTACAATGTCTCCGTCGGAACTTCTCTCTTGTGTCGTAAGCACATACATATATATTTCGTATGGACGGCTATTAACGAAGCTCTTTTGTTCCCAGATCGTACCGGGCCATGGCGGGGCATTGGCATGCTTCGGGGAAGCACGAGGTGCTGCCGGATGTGCTGTCGGAATAAGCATGCAGCAGCATGGGAGCTACCATCGTGGACTTGGTCATAACTGATCGATTTCATAGGTCAAAGCTCATTGTACCTGCACTAATGCCTTTTTCCCGCAGTCTACTATGGCGCCAAGTCACACATCACGAAATTTCGATATGGTGTTTTGCACCAGGAAGTGAAAGTTGGTGTATGAAATATCAGACGAAGCTGATACACCATATCCAAGATAAAAATCGATACTCCCGTAACTAGTTCCTAATACAGCTTTCTTTCCAGTGGTCAATAGTTCGGTAATATTCCTGGTTTAGGCCGAAGTTGCGTATAACACTTAGACCTCCGAATCCAGGTTCGCTGAATACAACATTTCCTCGTCCAAGAACACAGTCAACGCCCACTCACGAAGCCCGCAACGTCACAGTCAGTATATTTAAGCATATTGCCTCACCTATAGAGTAATTCTATCTATATTGCCGCTCAAGTTACCTGGAACCATGAACTGTAACATCTAATACCAACTACCCTGTACGCGAGAAACTCATATATAGAGCTCAACATATCCAAGGTTTCAACCAGGCGTCAATACTACATACACTGCATTGGTCTTGGAGCTTCTTCAAACCACAAGAGTGACTGTGAGTACGGTACTGTTAAGTTACTGGAAGGTCTATCAGGTTAAACGCCGGGAGGACGAGAAGTGTTAGATATGTCGAGCCGTGGCGATAACACAGCATGATCTACACAAACAAAGCTGAACCGATAATGAATCAGCACTAATTATACAAGTGTATGATCATTATAGCGGCCTTATACTTGTGTGCTCCAGTTTCAAGGAGTTTAATGCATATTGTGCTGAGGCAGAATACTAATGTAAGTTAAATAGAGATAAGACAGGCTAGGAACCCCGCCAGCACTTAATCACGAAAAAGAGCTTTAAAGCTATATAACATGCAACAACTATCCAAGGTCCAGGGCTTTGTTGAACACAGTAATGAGTGGTGGCCGTAATGGCAAAGCTGCATCGCTCACCCCATAGAACCCGATCACGGACCACTCAGGCAAGAGAGTTAAGGTTAGATGGATTAGGTCTCTAAGAACAGATAGTGGATATTTCTCTCTAGGACTACAATCTGTAAAGTGGCCTGTAGATTGACATTCGTTAGTGACATAGCTCCATCCTGATGGGGGACATGTTATTTGTTCACTCTGGGTTGACATAACCACTGTACGGAATAGATCCTATCCAATAACATTATAGCCATTCAGTGCGTAATATGTTCACATTCTGGCAGGTAATTGTGTCTAGATAAGCTTACTAGAAGTTGACTTCCTAATTTCATCGTGTGAAGCGGTGACCGGCATTGAAATTCAAGACCAGTGCAGCTCAAGATACAATCAATTTTGTGATATTCTATTCTTATATCAATAGATCTAAATGTAGCAGTTCCTTCTAAGCTTAGCTATGCGTGAAATACCACCGTCATTAGTCCAGACTTGCATATTATATCAGGGACTCCCCAGTGCACCTCATGAAACACCAACACCGAAAATGTTTCGAGACCAGACAGGTAACGTCGGCAGACAAAAGAGCCAAGGCGGGCCTTTCCGTGTCACAAAACATAGTGTCGGAGCTTCTCATGGGGGGCATCGTGTTTGAAGATAGAGTCATGAAGATGGTTGATGCGTGTACGTAGGACTGAGTATATACCTAGTCAATTCAAGATGGTTCAAGATATATTGCTAGATAGCATAATCAGCTCTCCCGTCCGGAGCTTACTGATATATATGGTCATTAACTACATAAAGCTTCGAAAGTATTGACGTTTTCGCTGGCCTGAACCTCGATGACTCAATGAGTGAGACTCCTGTATATAGCCGTGTCTTTTCAATCGAGCCTGTATTGAAGTCGTAGTAATACCATGTATACTATCTTTATACAAGCGAGGGCCTGAATGATTTGACTTTTAGAACTGCCGATATCTGATCATCATGAAACTTGTTTTGCATGTCTCAGATGTTTCCGGCGTAACTCACTGAGTTTCCAATTCGAACTATAACACGACTTGGTCTCCACAGCAAATGATAGTCAATCGCAGAGGATTACTTGTGAGTCCATCTAGTATCTAGCTGTGAGGTCATGGCCTAAAGATAATTCTTTAGCTGGTGGATACAAATGTCATTTTACTAGTTATAGTTTGCTCTTAGTGGAATAGCATCATAGTATGGAGATGGCCAAGGAGCTCCCCACTCCGAATACTATAACAGGGCAAGATGAACGGATCCCATGGGGAATGATATTGATATTGAGACTCCATGCTCGCGAGGCGTTTGGAGAGAGTTGCAGATGTTTCTGTATGTCTCAACCAACAATAAGCTACGGAGGCAGACTCGCCCACTTAGGACTGGAACCTGCTAAGAGGGTAACGTAATGCACAAGCAGAAGGCCACGTAATAGTCAGTTAGGAAGGCCAAATATCACCTAGGCGTAGTGGTAACTTAGTCTGACTGCCACTTCAACCTGACTTCATCACGAGAGACGAGTTGCGAATCCATTGAGGCGAAGGTGAGAGGAGAAGCGGAGGCGGGGGAGGGGTCCATCGTGAAGAGAGGGGCAATGAGGAGAAAGACGGCGCTATCGACTTGTGGCGCAAGTTTAAAGACGCCAGTTGAGGGACCCTTTTGAGGGGAATTTACACAGTAGTTGTGAGACCACCATGAACTGACGAGGCCGAAAGTCTAGAAGACCTTGTCTTGTATGTACAACATGTGGTGTTCAGCCGAGACTTGAGGTCGCGTGACCTTGGATTAGTTGACAAATGTATGGAATTCCAAGAAGGGTTCTTGAATTGGATGCCTCACTTGGCTGAGAATTGTCTAGCAAGTCTAGAAGTGATCGCCAGGAGACGACGGTTAATGGCGTTTCTGTACCTGATGACGAGGTGCCTGGTGGCGCAGTCTGGATTACCCTCCTCTTGAATAAGCATGAGAACGAGGAATGACGAACACACAGTTGTCGAAAGGGTAAAGGCATTGTTGAATATTGTCAATGGATTCGTAATTAATCTCAGGCAGTGTTGTTGATGATGATGAAGTGTAATCAAACTCAGAACTGTGCAGCGATAGATGCATAAGTTCCATAAACCACGTTTCCCGCTTTCATCAATAGTCAATTCCTAGTATGAGACAAAAAGGATCAGTGATGACATCGAATTGGACTGGCCTAGAGCGAGTGATCGACCACTAGTGCCAAGAGACAAGGGGTCGAGAGCCACGAATTCGAGGTCGGGACCAAGATA